AATTTTAATACTCGTGCAGTTGTTCTCCATAATCTCGATCATGTACTAAATCGATTTGCATCAATTAATCGAAATTTCCTATCTACTATCACTTTCGTTGTATTCACTGTTGTAGAACTTTTACTTTTTCGTTTTCACATTCCTCATTAAATTCGTATTTCGATTTCTTCTTGTGACAACCAGAGTGGTCCTTTCCACCACGATTCGCAATTTCTCAGCTTTATTGGAGATATTCCCCTCGTTGCAATATCAACTAGATTATCTTTACTTGGTATATGGCGAAAGGAGACCTTTGTTTTCCTTATCTCCTCCACACGACTTTGTATGAAATCTGGTAATGGTCGAGAATGGTTTTTGATCCAATGCAGCGCGCACTTGGAATCTGACCATACTGTTATCGGTAAATTTTCAAATTCTAGTTGAGTTGTTACAAATTGTACCGCTCATACTGTAATGAGTATTGCTAATAACTCTAACCCGGGTATTGTCTGCCCTTGATTGGTGCGACTTAGGGAATATTAGGAAGGTTTTGATCCCTCTTGGACCATGATTTCGTACATATAGAGCTGTAGAATAAACTAAATTTGATGCATCCGTAAAAACATGCAATTGTAAGTTTTTTACAGGATATATTACGAACCGTGGTAATTCTGTCACGTTCGTTGACCAATTTTTTATTAAGGAACTCCATATTTCATGATCCACTCCGTCTAGAGGTTGATCTCAATCGTTATTTTTTTCCATTGATTCTAGAGGAATAGTTTGAACTGGATTGAGGAATCCCATAGGATCATAGGATGTTACAAATTGCAAAATTGTTCTTTTTGTTAGTTCTTTATCGTTCCAAGGGTTTAAAGTGACTTTTAAAACGTCTCGATTTGGATTCCATTTAACTCCAAGAATTTTTTTGAATTCATCTATTTCTCCTCGATCATTTTTTGGAATGGATTTGTTAAACTTCTGATCATTTGAAGGGAATTCTCGTATGTTCATCGAGGCATCTTTGAATATGTCTTTCACTTCTTCATAAGTTTTAAATGCTTCTTGAGTCCCACGTGTTGATAATATGACATTATCGACATAGAGATTTTTCCCAATTTCCAAAGCAGTTTTGCCTCCATATTTTTTTTAATGATAGTTAAGAGTAGCTGATAATAAAAATGGGGATGATATTATTCCAAATGGAACTCTTTGAAAACGATAACATACCGCTGGTAATTTCTCCACTGATGTCTTTCAACCATAGAAATTGTGTGCAATTCCAATCAGATGGAAGTAATTCCAATTGTAAAAACGCTTTCTCGATATCAGTTATGATCACATTTTTCATCACTCTAAAACGAAGTAAAACACCTGCTAGGTCAGGCAATGTGGTGGGACCGCGATACGGGACATCATGTAAACTTTTTGATCCTTTGCAATGAGCAGGAGCATCATACACAATTCGTAATTTTGTAGTTGACTTGCTTGGGTTTAGTACTTCGTGATGAGGTAAATAATGTATGATACCATTCTGACTCATGTCGGAAGTGACTTCTTTTATGATGTTGAATTGCATTTGTTCTTTGATTATTTCATCATATCGACGGAGTGCTTGCTTCTTGTATTTAAGTCGTCTAAATAATGTTTTCAATCGTTCAAGACAAAGGCCATAATTATTTGGAAGTTTGACTTTCGTATCTTTCCATGGCTAGCAAACTTGGTATCTAACGTATTTTCCTTAGTGATGTTTTGTTTGAACAGATTTAGGGCTTTTTCATCGTCTTGCGCATTTGGTTGCTCTTGGATCCCTATTAATTCTAATTTCAAAAACTAATCGATATCTGAATATGTTGTAATAGTGGTTGCATTGATCGAATTAATTTTGACAGAATCACTATCAATTTGATTAGAATTGCAAGTCATGTATCCACTACCTGTTATCATAGGACCAACCTTGGTGGAGATGATGTCGAATCCAGATGCCATATTGCGAAGCTTGTGTGGTGACATAAATTCGAAGAAGTAGTCAACTCCAATAAGTATGTCTGGACGTCTCCAGTATTCTCCTGTCTCATCCAGTTGCCTTTGGTTTTATTTTTTAAGTGAAGGTTTATTATCGACCAACTCTTCATTTTTATCGTGTATGATTTAAAATTTTAACAAATATTTGATCATATTCTGTCCTCACTTTTTTTACAATCTTT